GGGAGGATAGAGAATCCAGCAGCAAATCCAAAATATGGACTTAACCTCTCTACGTGGTCCATTTTGTTGAAACTGAACCTTTTAAAAGCTGGGGGATGACTAAGCCAAATCTATTGGCACAAAGCACAGAGTGAGCATTGATATAGTTAAATGTCAAGTAGTGAGGATGTAATAATTCTCTCAGATAGCATGGCTGTGTAATATTCCCCCACTTATTGAGACACAATACAACCTCTTTGTTTCAAAAGGATACATGAGAGGTGTGGGTTGGACTGTTGCCTCCCGGTGTATGCTGGGAGCAGATAAGCTGTAAGCACCTCTATTTGATATGTGGATGAAGTGTTAGGTACCATTTTTTTAGATGTAAAAATGTTGTTCATTACTTTCATTTTTTTTTCTTTTCCGTTTAATCACGTTTCATAATATGAGGCAGTAAGACTTTATAACAACTAGGGCTGGCACTTTTAAAGCAACTTACAATAGAAGAACAAAAGCAATTTGTTTTCAAAAAATTGGCTAGGTCTATTAGAAAGCTATATTTCTCAGCCTTTTAATGACTGGTGAAACATACTGTATCTCAGTATATTTGTAAGATAATATTATAGTAGTATTTGCTCAGACAGTAGTGGCATATTTCCTACACTGATCACTAAATGAAGACAAGTACTGTAAGAATGTGCTAATTGTTTGCGTTTATACTGTGTGAATCAATATAACAATACAAAGTCATAAACAGTAATATTTATCTGTATATATTTGAATGCAATGGTTTAGTGCATGAATACAGACACTGAATACAGCCTTTTATGAACATTTCTGAGTGATGAAAGAAATTAAATGTTAAATCAGAATGTTTAATCTATTGACTGAAACAGACAGTCTGAACTGTTCCATGGAATAAATCAAGCTTTAAGCATGTTGATACCAGGACTAATGTGGTGCATTAAAAATCTTAATTAGAATGTGAATAAAGTTGACCGATATGATTTTACAGGATTTTTTTTTAATTTGTATTATTAATTTTTAGTAAACATTTTAAAAGTATAAATATTTTAAAA